TGTAGTTTAAAAATTGATGGTGGAGTAAAGATAACTAAATTTGGATGAAAAGGAGTAGCTAGGGATTTTGGCTGGAGTGGCTCTGGAAATGTGAGAGTCAGAGTGTTTTAGGGGGTTGAAATGAGAGGAGAGGGACATCAGACAATAAGAGTACATAGTGCATTCAGTAAGCTTGGCAATGAAAGGAAGCTGGAGTTAGAGAAGAACTTGCATGTCTTTAAGGTCTGAGAACTTAAATCTTGCTTACATTTTTTAGGTGAGAGAGCTAGGGAGACAGCTCTTTCTCTACAGTAAAAAGGGGGGGGGGAAATAGAATGTGTATGAGGAGTCTCAGGTAAATCACAAGATGGCCTAAGATGATCTTTGAATATATTAGAGAGATTTGTGGAGAAGAGTAAATAAGAAACATCTTTGTGGTAGAAGAGAAGGAGAGAGGTCACATCATGTTCTTCCAGTTTACATTTGGGAGAATTTAGCATGCCCTGATCAGAGAAGAAATGGGAATAAAAGGAGAGGACATTTGAATACTGATGGCAAAAATAATGTTAAGGTTGCAGCTGAGAGTTAAGATTAGCTACAGGAGAAGAATTTTGGAGGATGGCAAAATTGGCAGGAGAAGAGGACGCAGCTGTGGTCGGTGAGGTTAGTTTTGTGACAGTATTTCTTTCAGAGATTCTCTGAAATGTAGGAGTCTGAGTAGAGTTAGTAATATTGGAGTGGGTCAGCTGGGATGGGAAATAGCTGGATGTGTCCTGCAGTGGAAGACAGAACATTTGGGGAGAGAAGTGAAATATGATGACAGTCACCATCTGTATCAGTTAAAGAAAAAAAGAGAAAACAAAAGTTTACTGACTGCAGATATGTGAACCAGGAGTCTTTTAAGAGGAAAAAGCTGGATAAGAGAATTGGGTTCATGGTCCAATCTCTCTAGCTGTTGCCCTTCCAGTACTTTAAATAAAGAACTGGTCTGCGGGGGGCAGGAGTGAAGGGAGGAGGGAGCAGGTTGTCTCTCTCAAGAGAGACCCAGTGGGAAGTTTGGATCTGGAGTACTGGCAACTAGAAAAGGGAATGACTGAGGACTTGGAAGGAGTGAGAAGAGGAGAGAACACTCCCATATATGTCAGGGAGCACTGGGTAAAGACAGCTTTGTAAGAGAAGATTTCCCCAAAAAAAAAAAAAAGTTCAGAAAAATGAAACATGAACAGTTTACGAGTAGAGCAGGTATCTTGAAGGCAGGAAAGGAACAGCAGGAAAGAGGCTAACTCTTGCAGTCCAAAGGCAGAAGGATCATGGTGGATCAAGTGTGACTTGGATATGTCAATGATGTGACAAATATTATGAATTGATTGCTTCATGACAACTTCAGTCCACTTGGATTTAAGCAGGTAGGAGTAGGAAGGTGATCTGAAGAGAAGAGGAAGAAACACCACCACCATATTTTGCAGCACCATATTTTATAGTATTTAGAGATGAACAAAAAAGGAAAAGAGAATAATACCTGCATTTGATCATGCCATATGACCTACCAGAAACCTATGAAGGAGAAGACAGCAGGCTCATACTAGGAAGAAGCATGCAGTTCCACTTCATTTATTTATATGCTATCCATGGCTAAGCCTTGTCGCTTTTATGAAAAAATAAAAAAAAGTACACTTCTTTGTTTCTGTCCTGATAGCCGATTATCTTGCCCATGATCTAATAATCTCCGATGTTGACTGTTCCAATGTTCTCCTTACCAGTCGTTTTTAGAGCATGCTTTTTGTAGTGCCTTCGGTATGCAGTCTCCATTATTTTGCTTTATCTTTTTATTTCATCAGAATGTTGTTATTGCTTTCCTTAAATCAAGCATATCAGTTCCAAGTTTTTTATTCTTTGGTTCCAGACTCTGTAGGACATGCTCCCCATTTCATCACTAATAATCTCTTCTAAATTCATAGAATTAGAGAAGTCAGACAGACATTTTTGGAAAGGTGGGGAAGATGAGACAGGATCAAGTGTAGCATATCACTAATGCTCTGACTCGGCAGGAGACAGGACCCCTGCCCACTGGCAGAAAGGTTATTGTTGGGGGGGTGGAAGGAGCACAAATAAAGCTTTCACTTCAATCATCCTTCTTTCTAAAGGCAAACTCAAATGTATGTGAATATTCTTGAAAGATTTGCTTAGCTGCTTCTTTAAAATCTTCAATCAAAAAGTTTGAAAACCTCCTTGGACAGGAAGTTGGGGTGGGATCAGTGTTAAAATATTCATAGGGTGAGAAAATTTTTCCTAATATTCTAGCATGAATTTTTTCTTATTGCAGCTTAAACCTCTAGGTGCCTGTATTTTGCCCACTCGCTCTGGAGAATGTATTGTTATTTTTGTAAGTACCTCTTACATGTTTGATGATGCTTTCTCACGGTCTACTTCCAGCTAAGCTGCCTCCATTCTTTCCATATATCTTTTTAGATCTTGTTCAGACATTCTTATTGCTTTCTCCTATATGCTTTGTTAACCCGTATGTTCCTTGAGTGTTATGCCCCAAATTGGATGTTTTAGCCCATCATTCAGTATTTTTACGAAAATATTGACAAGTACAGGACCTGGAATAAAGCCCTTTGGAGGCCTGCTCATTAGATCTTTCTATTTTGACAATTAACCGCTCTCTAATCTTTCTCCTACCAGATATGCATCCATTTCCAGAGTCCTTTCATCTAACGTGCGTTTCCCTCACAAGAGGGAAAACCAGTCATGAGAATATGATGGGGGCCATTTTTATAAGAATTACTGAAATAAAATGAAAAACTTAACACATTTAATACCTCTTTCCTATCTTCAAGGTCAGTTATACTGTCATGGAAAGACATTAGGTTGACTTGATCAATGTTGGCCATGGCTAATTTCTGTTTTCCGGGTGCTTACAGTAATTTGCTATATATATTTGTTCCAGTATGTTTTCTGCAAGTTAAAATAAAATGAGAACTCGGTAGTTGCAAATCTTGACTTCCATCTCCTTTTAAGGGCCATGATTACAATTTTTGTAGTGTCCTCTTTAAATCCCTTGCTAGTTTTCTCTTATTCTTTTCTTCTGATTTTGTGTATTTGCATATTTCATTTAAACTTCAGTAATAATTTTACTCAGTTTTCACTTCTGTGTGCTTGCTTTTGAATTTTAGGTTATTGAGGAGCTCATGATTTTAGCCAAGTTGGTCTTTTACTACATTCTCCTCTTTTCTCTGCCCGGAGATTGATTGTGCTTGGTTTTTTTTTTTTTTGGTGTAATTTCTTTAAGGAATTGGCAGTTCTCCTAAGTCATTTTTCTTACTGAGCCATTTCTCCTTCTAACTTACCTACTAATTCTGATGAGCTTATTGAAATCTGCTGTACTGAAGCCCTGTTGGAGTCATCTCTCCTCCATTTCCTAAAATTCACAAACTGTTGCCAAGTTGACTCAACGTCACCTTTCATCTTCCCTTTCAACTAGTTCTTTTATGCTGTTCGAACAAGTCTTGAAGTCTTACTTTTCATTGCTTTCTCCACCTTTTGGATCAAAAACTTGTCACAGTTCTGCTATAATCCATTCCCAGTGGCCATTTTGTATCGTTGAAATCTTCTATCATGGCCAGGTCCTTTGCTTTATATGGTGTTGCTATGTGCTTGGATAAAGCATCATCCACCTGATCTTCTTGGATTAATTATACGTAGCATACCTGAGCAGGCTAATGCTCAACCTGTCTTCTCTGTAGTTGTTACCCTAGTGTTTTCAACAGTTTTTTCCCTACATTCTGACCCACAGGGCACATACATCCACTCTTGAGGTAGCAGACACTTCTACACTGCTTAACAGGTCAAACCTTCCTATTGAAACTATATGTTCTACATTAGCTTTATTATCCTGTGAAGCGTTGCACCAAGTCTCTGCTACAATGGCTAAATCGTAACGTTTATCATCAAAATTTAAGACTCTTCCCAATTATTTCTCTTACATCTTTCGATAGTTTAAAACAGACATCTCTAAGAATTTCAGCTAACTGGCCAGCAATCTGCTCCTTTTCCTGTGATCTTCTCCAAAGCACAGTGATTTATGTCTATTTGCAATTACCTATGCTCTTGTCCAGTGGTGATGTGAAACTATCTGCTGCTGTAATTCACTTTCACCTTCATCTTTCTGTTCCATTTCCTGTGCCTCATCTTTTCATATGTATTCCACATACTAAGTTATCTCCTTTTCTTCATTCTCACATTCCTCTTTTGTCTATCCTGAAGACCTATCTCTTCAAAGAATGACAGGGAAAAAAATAAAGAAACTGAAATGGAGCAAGTCTATGATCTTTTATTCATGGGTCGAAGAGCAGAGAAGAAGCTATCTTTAGTTAGCCTGCTTGTGGCCTGCATGTCATATCTACTTTTTTTTATTTTTATTTTTTTTAGGTCTTTGAGATGTTAAGAATTAGAGTTTTGTTAGGGATTTCTTTGTTTTAAGCTATAGAGGTACAAGAGACGGAGCATACCTTACACAGTGAGGAGCAAGGGAGATTCCTCAATGAGAGAACATTCAGAGCAGAAGCCCAGTTTTCATATTCTGAATTTACCTTTTGTGTGAACAGCTCTCTCAGCTGACTGTAGGAGGGAAATGACCTCCTTAGGCTGAAGTTAACCTTGGTGAATACACCCTTTCTGCTTCCCCTGTCCACTCGTATGTGTTCTCTGTGCTGTTGAACTAGCATGGAGACTTCTGGGTCTGACTGTATCTGAAGAGGGAGAAATCTGAAAAAGAAATATTGAAATTGTCAGATGGAACTGATATGTTATCATCAACTTAGATTTATGGTTAATCTCACCAAAATGACCTATTCTGGGCTCAGAATCCATGATCTGCCCAGAATAATAAGTTGATTTAGTGATTAAGAATGTGGGGGTTTTTTTGGAAGCTGTAGTTAAATTTGATGGTTGAGGTATTCTTAAGGTTCGCTTATTACTTTTTTTTTTTTTTTCCCCCCTCCTTCCCCATCTCCACCAAGTCTTCCATCCCGTGGAATGTTCATATTGCCGGTGCGAGAGCATGATGGGTTTCCGGTACCGATGCCAGCAGTGCCACAACTACCAGCTCTGTCAAAACTGTTTTTGGCGTGGCCATGCAAATGGCCCTCATAGCAACCAACATCAGATGAAGGAGCATTCCTCTTGGGTAACTCACATTTGTTTGTCATGATGAAACAACCGTCTGTGTACTAATTTGTTCTGAAAGATAAAGATGTTTTTATAATAAACTCAGAACTTGTAAAGATTTTCAAATAGTGAAAGTATATAAATAGGTCAATTGTATTTTTTATTTAATTTAAATAACATTCATTTCTTGATGGTTTTCATTGTATTCAGTGCTGTATAAAGCGCACAAGGCAACACAGTTCTTTTTCAAGGCCTTAAACCATGTATTTTCCTCCCATCTTCACCACAGTCCTGCTTTTGTTACATCTTCTTCTCATCTCACTTAGCAAGATATAAAGCTTGCATATCCTTTCCTCCTCAGAAGGCTAAATCAATTAGCTGGAATGCTATGCTAACAAAGATCTTTATCCAAGCGGCATTAAACATGGCATTTCTTTAAAAGAAAAACCTGGTATTGTTGTCCTGACAATTGTAAATATGTGCATTGAAAACACAGAGCCTTCACTAAAGAATCTTAACTAAATTATGGGAAATAATATTCAGGTAGATGACTATATGATAACAATATCTCAAGAAACAGACAATTATAGATTTGAAAACCTATTTTATAGCAAAAGGTTTACACCCAATCTTCTACATATTTAAAGAGAAATTCGAAAGTTGATTGGGTTACAAGTAGTAATTATCTCCATGAGGAACAATTTTTATAGTATGACTCTTTAATTTAGAAAACGGGGGCTTAATACAGTCCAGTGGTTGAAAGTAGTAGATAGGAAAATCTAGAGTGAATTATTGTTCCTTTTTTTGGCCGTGTAGGTAATAAACTTCTGGAACTTTCGATCTAAATTACTAGTATATTATCACTCCCTGAAGTACATAAATCCAGTCTGGATTTTTTTTATACAAAGGCATATCTAAATAGTAGTTCTAACTTGTAATGTAGATATTTCTTCCTGAAATATTTCCTCTAACCTCTGTTTGCAGCAAGTCAAGTTAGATGGATTGTCCCCATTCTGGTATTAAAATCTACAAAACTGTCATCCCTTTTGTTTCCTGTACTAGCTTTTGTGGTATTTCATTCTGAATAGGCCCTTCAGAAAATGTTGATTTCAAGATATTATATGAATTGGAGGTGTGGGAAATAATGTAAATGAAAAAGGAGAATATTCAGGCAATGTCTGTTCTGGTAAATTAATGCACAGGTTGTTGCAGGCTCTTGGTAGTTCTAAGTTTTGTAGTTTAGATCATCTCTAGCATGGCTTTTGCCTGGGCCAGTTAGCACTCTCCTAAACAGTTCTGAAGGTAAGATTTAGGAGTTAACTCAGGCGAGGAACCATGCCTACTAGACAATCTAGATGCAGCCACCTCGCTTTGGAGATGAAGAGTTCAGTACTATAGATGTGGTCAGACTGTACCACCAGCTTCAGGGCCCGATACTGGCTTTGGAACTGTTTACCTCGGTAGTCCTCATATACCAGAACATGAGGGAATTGCAGATACAGAAGCAACACAAAAGCAAGGATATAAGCAGAAGTAGAAGATAGTGGAGAGCAGAAGTTTTGAGAATAGGGAAGAGAAGGTGGTGAGGAACAGAAGGAAGTAAAGTGTGAGAAGAAAAGTAACGTTAGTTGGGACCACTGTTGAAAGAGACTAGATTTTCGTAAGTAATGAAGACATTGATAGAATGCCTTCAAGTTTATACAAGATATTGGGAGCATAGTGGAAATTAATTAGTTCATGACATATTTCAGGAGTGACAGTGGTGTTTTTTGCTGATATTTGTTACTCTTCACATATTCTGGAACATTGATCTATGATTCCTCTTTCCAAGTACTTTTTCTTCCTAAGACCTTACTGTGGCCACCTCTACACCTGAAACATTCAGAGAAGTCTCAGGTTGTGGATTAATCTATGTCTGTCATAACCTTGAAACCATTTTCCTGATGGCTATTACATCAGCAAGGAGTGCAGGCAAAATTAATTTTATGAAAGGTCCTACATACATGCTTACTCAACAGTAATATATTTTCTTTACTGAAGGCCCAAAGACTCCTGCTAACCAGATGACAGACCTGCAGAGATTAGCTGATTCCCTGATACGGTATAAAATGAATCTTTTGCTCTTGTTTTCAATCCAGAAAGATCTAGTTCAGACTCATGCTGTGTAGTGTCAGATCTTTGGAGCTCTGTTGGTCTTCTCAGTTTCAATTTGGTTCATTAATGCCAGTAGCAGTAGTACCAAGCTTTACTGATTCCTTTGTATTGTGTTCCACTAAAACAAGATATGCAGCCAAGCTGGCAACATTGGTACCTTTTTGCTCAGCTCCGGCTATATTGATACTGATTCCTGTTGTAAAACAGGCTGCCTTTCTGAGTGGTGGATACGGCTGTTGCTCTAAAACCAGAGTATCCTTCATCAGATGTAATTGCAGTCGTGACAGATTCCAGTTCCATTTTAACTAAGATTACTTTTTGGACGTTTCCCAGGAGACAATTCTTACTTTCTTATTAAACCTAAGAAGTTGAAATCACCTATAGAAATATTTACTTTTCTGCATCTTTATCTTCTCACATGTTCATCTACTTTTTAAGAAAATATTCTGAGCACAAAAAGTACCAAACTGTATTCATACAGTTAACGATAAACTCTTAGCAAAATGCAAATAAAAATAAGCAATTGTGATAATGTGGACATGCTTTTGAAATTATTTGATATTTTTGAAATATTTTGATATTATTAATATATATTAATATATAGCTTTAGATGAGAAAGACTTGACATATAATTTTATCTTTGTTCTTCTAACTTTAGTTTAGAAGACTTTCATGACTTGTATAACATGTCTTTTCTGGTACATATGTACTCTTATTGTCTGGGCAGAATCAACAATAATTTGCAGCTGCTTGCCCATTGAAATCCACACCAAGACATAGATGACCGCACTTTAAGAAATCAGTGAGATTTATGAGTAGCTGATCATCCAACAAGGGTAGAAGGACGTGTGTTTTGGAGATCTCTTGGAAGAAAATAAAGATTAGGTGTTATTCTCTCCCTGTGTCCAAGCAAAGGTATCATTCCATTTTCGAGATACATAAAGACTTTGATATTAATCATTCAGTTCAAGACCTGCTTTTGAAATGGTTTGGGAATGGTCTGAAATGTTTTCACACTTTAAAACCAAACAGAGCTTTGACAAACCCTTGCCTTCATTACAGATTCTCCAGAGAAGTTTAATCATCGTTACTTTCTCACCGAGCATCATCATCTTTATATGTTGTGTTGATTATGAAAAACATAAGCAAACTTTATCAAAGCCTGTAAATAGGTAGCAGTACAACACAGACCTTTTAGGGAACAAATTTCATCTAGCCTTCAAGTACACCTAAGTAGTTATAATTCCTAATGCCTAAGTATGGTGGAGTTTTTTTTTTTCCCTTCCCATAAGGACACAACTACAAAATTATTATATACTCACTAAGATATCAGGCTATAAGTAAAAGGGCCTTAGAAGGTTCTTTGCTGACAAAGAGCATATTACAAGCCTCCAAAAGTTTTTCTGATATTGCTACTAAAGTGAAAACTACATTGGTAACTATCTGTGCAGCAGCATTGAGCGTAGGGATTACTGAGATAAATCTGTGAAACATGTTTCTAACAACTCATCTATGATTCTTTCCTTAGTCCTTTGAACTGCTTTGCAAAGGCTTCCAAAGTACGTTTTTCCAGGGGGCAGTTCACATAACTTATAAGAAATTTCTCTAATTAATGAAAAATTATCTCTAATTTCAAAACACAATATTGCTTTATGATGATGCTAGTAGCTTATCTCAATAATTGACAAGATCTTTGTAAGCCTTCCTATTTCAAATACCCAGTCTACAGTAAACCTCTATTCCGTATTGCTAATGACTCTGAGAAATCAGCTCCTTGGCGTATTGGACTTGCTGGGGAAAATGCGGTCCCACCCTCATTCCGTTGATAAAAGTGTATGGGGGAAGATTATACTGTTACTAGCTTAGACGTTTTTTCTACAGGACGAAAATGACATGATGATTCATTCTCTGCTCTCATTCAAAGGTCTTAATGAAAGTCGGCCTGGTTTACTTCATTATTAGCAGCTAGTGGTTTCATGATTTTAGGTGAAATCTGTGCTCTCACCTTCAGAGGTGTTTAGTGTCAGTTTAAATTATTGTTTTAAACCTGTTTAATTTTTTTGAAAAATTCTTGTTAATCTACAAGAGCTACTCTTTTAATGATGAGATTTCTAATTCAGAAATTGCACTTCAAAGAAGCAGAAAAGGCTAAAACCAAGAATAAGCATTAATAATGAGTATTTTCTCAAGTTTATTCTACTGAAATTCTCAAGTGTCTGTGATAATTTTTGGATACTCTAAATTGCATACATAGTAAAAAAAATACAAATTCAGGTAGAAAAAGGTGCAGAAGTTTTTTTAGAAGAGAGAGTCTGCTGTATGAACAGGTTGGTAGTTATGCCTGTTTGGATAAAACACTTCAAACACTTTCCAAAATTTTTCTTATAGGATTCTAGGATATTTTAATTTTGCTTTTAGTACATAGCCTTAAGCACTGATTTACTAAGCTTATTCATGCTCAACAGAACTGAAAATCAGGTTGTTCAGTTTGAAAGCACGTGGTAGATTAGGTATTGTTTATTTTGTTTCTTTGGTTTTTTTGCGAGTCCACTGTAGTTAAGTAGTCTGTCATCTGTGAATTTCAGATAAAATGTTAAAATGGCCTTGTTCCTCTCCCCTAAGGTACAGGTTTTGATAGCTTATTATCGACTGTAGATGGATTAGAACACCCTTCCTGATATGGATAATGCAATATTTATTATTTATAAACCACCTTAACGTAGTAGCATGAGAGTACGTATCAATAAACCAGAAAAAGGTTTAGTTGTTTCCATAGTAATAAAATCTATGATTTTGGCTGGGAAGTTGTTATACCGGGCACTAATCAAATCTAAAACAAAAGGAGGCGCTTTTATCTTCTGGGTT